TCTCACCATTTTTTCAGATTGTGTATTCTGAACTCTGGCAGCTGAACTTTCTGACTGGTGAGAAATATTGGTAGCTGGTGTTTTTGTTTATCAGTGATAATTTTTGCTGATTTATGTATTTTGTTCTTATTTAGGAATGAACTGTTTCTGCCTGTAGTGGCTTGCTTTTTTAAATCCCAGTTTAAAATATCTTTGACATCGTTTCACTAAAATTTATTTCTTGAACTAGGCATTGTGGACGACTGCATAAATACCAGAACAGCGGTTAATTTCAGTACCTTCATAACAAGTTCGTCGAAGCACTGCTGTACGTTAACGCGTGTTTTAGCACTACATTCAATGAAAAGACAACCGCATTCTCTAGCAAAGTTTATTCCCTCTTTCTTTGTTACAACCCTCTCACTTTCCTGAAAAAACATTGATAAAGGTATATAAGGAAAATTCTCAACCAAGGAAAGATATATTTGAAAAAACCAATTCCAATGGCTCAAATTCATGATACCAAATTACTAAGAAACTGAAATAATTTTAAGTAATTATACAGAACAGATTCGATGTTAATGAAAATATGAATACCAAATAAAACCCTGAAACAGATCTACAAATACTAAAAATAACAATTGAAATCATAAAAGTAGACAAAATAAAACAAATCTCCAAGTAAGATGTTCTTGTAATGCATCATACAGAATAAAATGACAATATTATTAGATAGTGTCTTTCAGATGAATAATATGGTGTCATCATTGCTATTTGATGTAATTATGTGGCGTGCATACAAATCTGAACATGGAAGTAAACTGGTGTCAGAAGAGACAAACATGTAATTAGGTTATCAGACGTAATTGCCATCAATGTATGTCATTGATAAAGTGTAATAGCACAAACAATTCCCATTCCTCACCAAGCCTCAAATATGTAACAAAACTGCTTAATTTGATTTTCCATAGGTGTCATAGAGAAAAACAACTGTATGTTATAAGAGACAATGATCAACACTATTAAGGACTGGGGGGGGGGGACATCTAAATAGGGGGAGAAGAAGGCAAAATGTTAAAAGGAACGCTCATTTTGAACCAAGACCTAAGCGTCATACAGTCAAAAGTGGAAACTAGAGTTCAAAGATCTCAATTAAGTTACCTTATCAACTTTGTTTCCAACAAGCATCTTGATGCAGTCTTGATTTGTCGAGTAGAGTTCAACTTCCTTGGCCCAGATTTCAGAAAGATTAGTAAATGTCTCCCTCCGTGTTACATCATAAACTGTTAAAATCAGAGAAAATCTCAAATTGTGATTCTCCAAACAAGTTAAGAGCAGAAATACATAATAAGTCTTAAAATTGATCAGAATGATAATAACTAAATATCACATTACCGCACACTTAAAGTGCTTAGAATTGAAAAGCATCTAATCTTTAACCCAGGCCAGGGCAATATGTAAACATAGTAGCTACAGCTAAAAAAAAAGCAAAGACTACAAGAGGGAAAAGAAAGTGCATTTTAAGCTGAAATAAACATGATTTTAACCATGACACAGGAGCTACTACTATGCTATTTTCTTATTTCAGTTTTATCTTTTATTTAATAGGCATAAGGAGTTAATGGCTACTATTACAAATTATCTTACCAAAAGGTAGTCTTGATGATGAATCTGATAATGGAGGATGAAAAACCCTTTAATGATGCAAGGCCAAAAAACCGTGCAATACAAAGTGAATTGGAGCAGTTGGTGCGTGCCCTTAAATTAAATCAGTTGTAGATTTTCATGGTAAGATGCATGTGAAAGGGCGCAAGGATAGCATGCTACACCCTATTTATGATGTGTATGCTATTGTTGGGTGGGGGGGGAGGAGTGAAGAATTTGATGTGTTTCAGGGAGAGTCTTTGGTTGTTCATAACTTCAGGGAGATTCTTAGGTTGTTCATATTCTTAGGTTGTTCATAGAGTGATGACAGCCACAGCCTCATATGAAGGGGAGGATTGGAGGCGAACTGGTAAAAAATTGTCTATCTCGAGGGACACAAGGTTGGGTGATGACTCTAAAAAGGCATAAAAAAGGAGCTATTAAATAGATTACAAAAGCTTTTTTAATTTACTTCAAAATCTAGAGGTTCATGTAACCTACATATTTCAAGAGGTCCTACTTCCATTGTACTTGTTTTCAATCTTAGTTCTATGGTTTGTTGCTTTCTTTCATTCTAAACCACGCCTATCCACTTAACATTTTTTTTGGGGGGGGGGGGGGGGAAGATTAGGATAGAAGAGACACACACATATACACAAAGAGACATTAGAGGCAAAACAATGCTGATTTCACTTCCACAAATTTACAAAAAGATAATCTACTCAAATGAGAAACTATAGTAATTTACCAAAAGAAAAGAGAATGAAGGGCAAAGGTTTTGTATGAGGAGCAGTTTTACAATTAGAAACAGGGATAATAATTACCCATAATGACCCCTTGTGCGCCTCTGTAGTAAGAGCTTGTCAATGTTCTGAATCTTTCCTGCCCAGCTGCATGCATATTCAGAATAGATTAGTCAGACTGAACCGGGGGGAATTTCCTCCCTACATGAAGTCATGAGCAACAAAAATAGCCACTTTCCATCATGCAAAACTGATTTGCATCATAACAAATAATCAGATCAATAAGGATTCTTATAGCAATAAGACCAATCATTAAAGGCCCAATAGATTAATCTAAATAGCAAGTCTAACCAAATTAAATGATGCACAAGATGACACAATAATTACCACATAATTTGCGTCATTTCCACAAAGGACCTGCATGCATCTCAATTTACTGATTTTAAAGGTAAAAAAATGTCCAAACCATTGCAATGACATTTTTGAAGTAACCATAAAGATCGGATTCAGTAATGCAATTTTCTATCCCAAAGCACAAGATTAAGTTGGCTCTTAAAATTTCATCACGGCCATGCCAAATATGAGAGCATATATTGCCTTTCTGCCTTTTCATTTTCACTTTGAAAAAGCTACAAAAGCATATCAAATGTACAGGCAAGTTAAAATGAGTTCCACCAATGGAAAAATCTCTATTTGAAGGCATTGCAAAGTATGGAAAATTAATATATTGATGTGGTAGCATACCCGATTCCCATATGTTCCAGTTCTTTTATTCTTTTCCTATTTTTTTCTTTTAATGACTAAGAAAAAATAATAATAAAGAATGAATAGCAGCCAGCTACCTCAACTCCGAGTGGTGTTCCCCCTACCAGAATTCATCTATGATTCTTTAATATCAGTACAATAGGAAATAGCAAAAGCATTACTCAAACATAGCTTGAGTATACTAAAACACTCTTGAGGCTACTCTCAAGTTAATATTTTGTTAATATGCTGCTTGTCAGAAATAAGTGACCATTTAGCAACACCTGTACACCCCCCCCCCCCCAAAAAAAAAATTTTTTTCCTAAAAAGTCCATTGCACTCATAAAATATAGGTGAGAAGAAACTTAGTGGTTTGAGAAATAAGAACAAAGGTCTCCCTTCAAGAGAAGCTCAACAAAAACTTGATAAAATTACAGGTGATAGGTTAACAGGGAAACAAAGCAAAGTTACCCAAACATCACCATATATGATGTCACTGTGATACGCCAACTTTTTACCAGGATTTAACTTATCAAAGATAAGAAAAGTCAAATAATATATACAGATTCAAGTTATATAGAACAAAAGTAGAGAATGCAGCAATCACTGAAAACCCACTTCCATCATATATGAATCTTAAAATCCAAGAGAAAACAGACATAATACATTAGTGAACTTTAGGTATAACCTGTATCCCAAATTGCAAGCTTCAGCTTTTTATCGCCAGCATTTACATATTTCACTTTAAAATCAACACCTACACAAGAAAATAAGTAGATTCTAAATCAGGGCATAAAGATGTAAGCAGATTAGTGAATCTTATAATCATGTGAATGCATTGAAGGCTTACAGAAATCCAACGGGACGGTTTTGATTGATAAAACTAGAAAATTACGAGTCACAAAAACATCCATACAAAAGTAAAATCATATCTTTTCTTTTATAAAAAAAGAAAGTTATTTTTTCAACTTTCTTCAAAATTATTTTTGCTAATCCACCTTTTAATCTGAAAATGAAAAGAAAAGGAAGCCTATACAACTTAATGTTCCACGGATCAAGACACTGCCATTATAGGTTATAAGACATAAAAATGGAAATATATTTGACGAGTGCAGTTAAAAATGAATACTGACCAATAGTGGGAGAGAGATCCTCAAAGAAATCGGAAGTGAAACTTAAAAGAAGACTACTCTTTCCAACTCCTGAATCTCCTATCATCAGCAACTTGAACAAGTAATCGAATTCCGGTTGACTCGACGAAGACTCCATTTGCTAATTAATTTACCAAATAAACTATCATCAAAATAATTCTTCCAAATAACGCCAAATTTTTACGATCGGATCTCCCAAATCCAGCCCTCTCTCTTTTTCACCTCGTCAACGAATCTAAATCTGAAAACCAACATGACATCAAATCATGAATATAGATTTGGATTCCAACTAGATAAAAGCTTAATCTAACATAATCCTATATTTTATCACCAAAAAAATGAGAAAAAAATTCTTACAGGTTTAGATCATTATCATCAAACATATTTATAGATTTTATTGCATATATCAAAATTAAAGATAATCTGAGAGATTACCTTTCAAGAGGAAAAAAAGTGAAGAGAAGATAATATTATGGAAGAGAGGGTGACCCAGATTTTGAAGGATTAATAAAAAGAAGGGTAAAGTATATATATAGTTCCCTAAACTTTTGGGTATCTTTTATTTTGATCACCTAATTTTTAAAACTTGCAATATAATCATTGAATTTTTAGTTTGTTTTCAAAATGGTCCCTGCCTTATCTTCGTGGATTTTTTTCTGACGTGGCACGTTAATTCCGTTAAAACAACACCCCTCCCCCAGGTCGTCTTCTTCTTCTTCTTCTTCTTGCACAGTGGCTATGAAAACCTCGCAACTGTCATCTTCCTCCGTTCGATCCGCTCCAGTTTCTTCACACTTACAGAGATACTAATATTGGTACTTTTCTTCTCTCTCTCAATTAGTGAAAGTATCAACATAATTGAGTTGCTTGTTAGTATATTTTAGGAGTTAATTGAAGCAACTAGGGTTCTGATATATAAATGAAATAAACTTTAGATGTGTTGTACTGGACGTTGAGATCATGTTGTGCTTTATCACTTTCCCTTAATCAATATTCAACGGTGTAGGGTTTGTTGGTGATTCCCTAAACAGAAACATGTATGTGTCTTTGTTTTGCACTCTGAGACGTGTCTCCGGTGATGTGAAGAAATGGCTTCCTGCGGGAGCTGATCGTGGCTTTACTTTTCTCGAATTTAATCTTACCATTGCATATCATCGAACTAATCTTTTGGCACGCTATGGTAGGTAAGCTGTTTCAAGCATTTCTTACCATAGTTAGTAAGGTATTTTGCTTTGTGTTACCGGAGCTTGGACTACTTTATTTTTGTTGCCTTTAATGCAGTTCGCTCTTCCTTGTCTAATGCAGGTGGTCAGCTAATAGTAATGGTGGTAAGTTGGAAGCTCTTGGATATAAACATCGTTAAAAGTCTAGTTGAGCATGCGTAAAGTGAACACACGTTCATAACCAAAATCCACACAAGTTTTTATCAGTTTCACTACATCTATTTTAGCAGCAGCACATACAATGGATAAACATTGCTTTCTAAGTCTTCCAACAATAGGTTGTGCCCGCAAACCAAGGCCTCTTGGCTGAATTCACATGGTAACAAGCTTTAGCCTTTAGGTGAAATACCCCAGTCTCTATTGAGTTTCCTAGTTACAGCCTTTGGTTCAAAATGCAGCTCTTTGCGGAGCTCCATTGGAGAAATGTAAAAGCATTGAGAGTAACCCGACAAAACCTGGATCCAATAGTGCATTAGCGTCGTTGGTAATGCCAGGTCGAAACCCAACTGTTATAGCTTTATCCCCAAGCTCATTTCCGGTGACTGAAAACCCCAACAAAACTCCAAACTCTCGACATCAGCATAATACAGCCAAAATAAGCCTACTGGCTTTAATAGCCATTATTTTAGGCGATGTTTTGGTTCTCGCTTTGGTTTCCTCCTTGCTTTACTGTTACTGATCTGATCTTTAACACAGGGCACTGGTTTTCACCTTGTGTCTGAAAGTACACAAAATTTTATTGATTGTAAGTTAAGAGAACCAAACATATTAAATAGGGGGTTAATCTATGGCCATGGTCCATCCCAGCTTGTCCTCGATTAGACCAGTTTGAATCCCTGTTAGTTTTGCAAACAATCTCTGAGCCGAGGAGGAGGAGGAGGAGGAGCTAAGGGTGTTGTTTTATCAGAGTTAACGTGTCACCTCAGCAAAAATTGACTGGTAACCTCAGCAAAAAAGAAAAACACAAAAAAGAAAGACCAACTTAAAACTTGCAAAGGTGAATTACAAATTTAATAATTAAATTTTATTATTATGACATGTCACATTTTATTAATATTGTTTTATGATAATATCACACGTGATTTTAATAAAAATAAATTACATTTTTATAATATGATGTAAATATAAAGTAGTATTTGTTCAAAGATAATTTTCAGTCGTTTAACATTTAACACTTGTATCTCTGGTATTTCTGGTGCTCTAACCTAGAACTTCAAGAAATAACAACTCCTTTAAAATAGATTTAAAGATCTTAAATTATACCTTTAAAATTTACACCCATAACCTAAATCCCAAATTATAATACCACCGCACTTTCATTATCGACAGTCTCACCCTTCACCCGACGATGATGGCTCATCGACAACCTTACCTATAGAATAATACCATACAATGTATTATTTTATCGGTGTTCTAGAGGACTCGAACCGACGCTTTGTCTAGGGCAAAAGCTTATTCTGCAAAGAGAGCATTGGCAAATATTATTATAAAAAATCGTTTAAATTAAAATTTATTAGTATCATAACATTATAGATATTTATAATTAAATTTAGATAAAACTCAAACAACTTAACTTAATTTGAGAAAATTTAAATAAAATTTAAGTTATAAAATAAGTCTTGTCAACTTGACTAACTCAAAAAAAAATTACTCTACTCAACTCGATTAAATACTCAATTCTATTATAGGATGACTAATAATTAACATATGTTGTTGACGTGATTTTTTTGCATATAAGTAATTATTAATATGTTAGACGCATTATCATCACCTTGAATAATGTGTCACATTTCATATTATCATTTTGGGTAACATAGTCAGGGACATATCTATTAGATACATGGGAGTGGTTGTGGCCTGGCCTCCCAACTTTACAATTTTTTTATATTTAATATATATATAAAGTTTAAATATTTATGAGATAATTATAGATTGCCTCCTTACTTCTAGAAGAAGTTATACTTTATCCCTCTTGAATTAAGATCTTGGACATGTGTATAGTACATTTTACATTATTACTTTGAATGATATGATATATGTCACATCCAGGGATGGATCAATGGAGGAGTGAGCAGGAACAGTCGTCCCCTAAAAATTTTAAATTACCATTTATTTTATATTTTTTTCTATGTATTTTCTATTATAAATTTGTTTTTATCTATTGAAATTTTATAAATTTATTTACTCTTAAAATTTTAGAAATTTACCCTTAATTTAGAATCTTGAGTCGTTCTTAATTATATTATCGTTTTAGATGACATGATATATATAACATTATTATTTTAGATGATATGTCATGAATAGCATGGAGATTATAGAAAAAGATATAAGGTTGACAAAACTTGTGGATTGCAAATGTTCGCGGCAGCCAAACCAGAAAAGTAGCAGTACTACCAGTGCTAGCGAGAGCTTACTAAAATTGCAGGTTTTTATTAGGCCTTGATATGCTATTTCGAGCTCCCAAAGTTCTTTAAATTTAATGGTAAATGTTATTCTTATTGTTTGTTGGTCAAGTCGATTCCCATTTTTGTTGGTCAGTTGTAGATCCACATACTATTCCATATAAGGCTGCTCAATGTGGACAAATATCCCACAATTGCATATTGTGCTTGGTGTACCCTGGGATTGTCAATTGATGCTAAAAGCAAGTTCTCGTGAACATTGATAATGGTGGAGTTGATTAATCTGTCACTTTTATTTCACAGAAACTCAGAATTTTACACCCAAAGGTACAATGTTAAGAACAGAACAACCTGGAAAACAAGTAGCTATGGCATCCCTGGATAGTATCAAGCAGAGGAGCGGTTTGGCAAGCATCCTCTACCGGACGGTCCATCCATTTCTTGAACAGATCTTCAGCAAGAGGAGCAATCCGATGCTGCAGCATAGGTCCAACCAAATTCAACCTCGTCGCAGCTGAAATGACATCTCTCATATTCATAAACATGTAAGCTCTTTGACTGGTTCCACTATCCATCCCTAGAAGTCCACAGATGAGCCCAAAGATCGGAGCATGGTGGAAAGAAACAACCCCGGGAGAAGCAATGGAAACATCCCTCATGGATTTAAGTGAAGGGACTTCAGTAAAAACAGAGACGGCCACTCGCATGAGAGAAGATCCTTGCGAAACCGATGCTTTTCGACCCACTTCATTGGTTAAAGTCGCATCGAGGATCCTGTCAAGCTCCTGCCAGTTCTCTAAACTAGGGTTTGTAGTTGTGGAGTAAACGAATGGGAGGAACAAACTACCGGTGTTCTCCAACAAATGAATGATGAACGTTTTGAGATCATCAGGGCTGGAGACTAAACGTGACTGAATTGCTGCCTCGAGACCAAAGGAATGAGCAAACCCACCTGTAGGAAGAATAGAATCTAGGAGTTGCCATTGGCTCCACTGCAAAATAGAGTCTATGGGTACATCTCGCTTCCTTTTCTTCTCTGTTTCAAAAAAATCTTGTTCCATCTCAAACACAGCAGGTAGCAATGAATCTTCTCCCCCTTTGGGACTTTCGGGATCCTTTTTCGTGGAGAAAAGGGCCTGGCTGGTGAAGATGTGTGAGGCTGGCAATGGGATGTCATTCTTGAATGTTAGTGTAATAATCAAAGGGTATGGTACAAGGAAGCAATAGAACTCAAGCAAGGAAACCAATTTTACTGGTCAAAGTATATGAACCAATCTATTAACACGACAATCTTAAAGCATAAAACCTTACCGTTAGAAGACAATAATACGCATTTCTACATATGCCATTGGATTCAACCTTTAAAATCCATAACCATCCTGTGTACTTTAGAGGCCAATAGGATATAAGGCTCCGGTAAGAGATAGACCGAGGGAACAGTTGTCCCACTGAAAGTTTCAAATTATCATATATTTTAAATAGTTTTTTTATATTTTCTAACGATAATCCATTTTTGCCCTCTCTTAAAATTTTCTAAATTCACCATAAAATAAAAATTTGCATACATCCCTAGGTCAAGTGCCCAAAGATTATCACATTTTTCACCTTATGCTTTTAAATCATAAAAAAATGCAAGTCATTATAGCTAGAGCTAGAGGTGTAAATGAATAGATCCTGTTCGTGAACCATTCCCAAAATGAATACGTTTGCAAACTATAAATAAACGAACACAAAACCTTCAAAAATAAATAAACGAACATGAACCGAAATATTAACAACTTTAAAAATAAACAAACAAATACTAAATGAGAACTAAATTAAAAGTTCCCACTTCATAGCCACGGAATGAGAAACCCCTAAACAGCAAAAAACCCTTTTTACAATATCATCATACCGCAAAAATCAAACTATCCAAATATATTTAAAGCCCTAAACCCCAAATCCAGAAAAGAGAACTAAATTAAAGCGAAGAGCAGCAAACTATAATTCGAATGAAAGGAACCCTATAAATTACCTAGACAAATTAGAGCCGCCGGAGAAAAATTTGAACAAGATCCTGAGAGTGAAGGAGAGATGTTAGAGCATTATGTAATATGAATTATTTGCGCGTGTTTTCTCTTCTTCTGCCCTCGGATACGCCGGGAAAAAGTTTTGTCTGAACATCAATTTAGAGCTTGTGCAATATTTCTGTTGATACAGTCCCTTCTACTATCATATTGTGTAGGAATAAAATTGCGGTAAACTATGTGAATAGTCCCTTTTGTTTAGGGTATAACTGATTTTGATCACTAATTTAAAATATAAGGTAAATGATCCCTCACATTATCGGTTCGTTCGATTTGAATTTATTTGCTATTAATTTCCGTTAATCCCCTTTTGTTCAAGTCTCTAACATGGTTGAATGACTAAAATTGAAATTGAAATTGAATGAATCAATAAAATTAAGGACTATTTCTCCTTAATTTTTAAATTGATGACCAAAATCAACCGAAATCATAAGAAACTATTTGCATAGTTTATCATTAAAATTGTTTGTCTCTTGATACTGCCTCATTTTGTGTTTGCCAGTCATATTTTGAAACGTCAATTAGCTTTAGATTAACATTTCTTACAGGGTAAACTATATGGGTGGTCTTTATGTTTTCAGTCTGTATGATTTCGATCATCAATTTAAAAAAAGAATGATTTTGGTACCTTACGTATCGATATGTTTTTCTCTTCTTCTCCTTCAGCGTAGTGGTGTATCAGCAGAAACAAAGCTTCGATGAACCGAGTGTTGTCACTTGTGAATGCCAAATATGTATTACTTTGCCAGTAACATTACTTGCTGACAAGTAAATTGTGGGCAATGAGAAAGATTTCTTAGCATCAAAATGTTCAATTTTCTCTCAGACAAGCAGAGCACTAAAGTGAAATAATTCAGAGCACCAAAGATGTCTTAGTCCCTTGAATAATACTGGGTCTGTAATGGAAATAATTTTCAATATGATCCGGGTGTAACGGGAGCTAGATCTTTAGAGGTTGAATCAACAAACATTGCTATTACCACTTTGGCTTATCTTCTGTTTCAATAAACTTCAACTCCACAGTCACTAGTTAGCGAGAATTAACTGCCACGAATAAAGACCTCTCCCACTTGAGGAGGCTTTAGGCTGGTGCACCTTCAAAGTGCAATGAAAGCCACCAGCCTAGGACCCCCCAGATCACCCCTCGACCCTGTCCAGGTAAATATGCTTTAAGGTTCTCCCATGCTTATTCTTTATATGTCTAGCTAACCTCTTCTTTACTGTCTTCTCGATGTGGGTCTCGAGTTGTAAACAGAGAATCAATCGAGCTCTCGAAGATGTGCAAAAGAAAAAGCTCGACACTATATTTAGCTATTTGCCCATACTAAAAAGTCCTAGTGGAAAAAGATTTTGGCTCCAAACTCTAACCATTGATCATTAGTCTTCAAATATACACTACTAAATGATAAAGGACGATGCAACAGATAAATTTCTTATCGCTTTTGTAGTGTTGAAGCAACAAAAAAATTAGGCCACTTGTAGCTGTTGGTCACAAAGCCTAACCTCCATATCTAGTGATTGTATAAGAAATTATAAAAATATATATGAAAAATTAATAAATTTCCCTTGGTAGATGCTACCAAAATGTGAAGGATTTGCCAAATGAAGGAAACCTTTAATAACACTGCCCCCACCAGGCTCCTAAAACAAATCATCTTGGGCTCAATGTAAGTTGAGTTAAAAAATCCAGGAATATTGGAACATTAATGCACAACACAAGTAAAACTTAGTTATTAGACAACAGATACTTTTAACTATAATTGAGGAATGGGCCGCGCGAACGCAGGCCCCCGCTGCCAGAAATAATGACCTAGGCTCTCCCACTTGAGGAGACCTTAGGCAGGTGCACCTTCTAAGTGCAGTGAAAGCCACCAGCCTAGGCCATGAGTCTTGCTGATCACCCATCGACCCCGTTCAAGGTTCTCCCATGCTTATTCTATATTCGTTTGGCTATCCTCTCCTCTTTACTGTCTTTCTCGATGTGGGTTTAGAGCTCTCAAAGTTGTGCTTAATTCTATTATTATTCATGTGCACCCAAGTTTTAGGATTACCATTTTCATCAGTAATTTGTCTAATAAAACCTGAACTTATTGCTCAAGTTGAATAGTGAATGTTGGTAAGTTTTTCTATTTTAAGCATTTCCTCATATTTTACTCACAACTGTTTCTTTTCTTTGTTCTTTGTTTTTTTTTTGCTGCAGACTCTCTGAATTATCACATTCTATTTTACTCAGCTTCCAGGACCAAACTATCATTTCCGAGAGGTATAGTATTGAAATTTTATGTGAGCTTGCCCTTAAGTTTTTTGTTTACATTTTAAATTTTAAAATCATTTGGTAAATAGCTCAGTTTCCTTTGGCAGGGTTCAAAGCTTGCCAGGTTGCCTAAACGACATAGTGATTTAGAAGCCCACTTAATGAATAGTATGTATTCTTTTGTTTTGTTAAAAATTTCAATTTATTGACTTCAAAGATTTAGATGCATCTTTATCATGAATATTTTGGCTCGTTTGTTCCACTAATTTGCAGTTCCTCGTGGTGGTTGTGGTGACTTGATTTATTCATCACACATGATCCTCTGAATTCTTCAATCTTCTTCATTCTTAAGTCTTTTTCTTATTTCTCTCTTGTTCACGGCTGAGTCTGTGACTAATTGGTAATCAGAGCCGGTTCGACATCCATTTTAGCAAACTGGGAAGACAAAAGAAAACACAATTAATGGCAGAAAGTACAAGCATTGCTACCATTCAAAGGCAGATAGAAGAAATGGAAAGTAAAATGGAGCAACAACAAAAGATCATGGAGGATAAGATAAATAATATAGGGTCTAAATTTGAATAAAATCAATCTACAATTGAGAGATTACTGAAGTTGCTAAATGGCAAAGCATAAGAGCAGGAACAACCAAAGGAAGAAGGTAACTCCTCCTCCCTTACCTAGCAAAGAAAGCTTCCTACACAGGTGACTATTATTGATTAGCATTAGAGATACTCTTACAGTCCAACCGAACCAGGAATAATGGCACCTAAACCTACCCTAAAACCTTTTCAAAAAACAAACTGCCCACCAAAGCAACAAACTAAAATAGAGGATGAGATATTTGAGATCAGTGTCAAGGAAGAAAACCTACGTATGGAGGTAGTACCTTTAATACATTTCAGAACAATTCAAGAGTCTATACCTTGAGACCAAAAATTGAATTGCAAGTTTTTGAGGGCAATAACCACAGAGGTTGGATAAAGAAAATGTCAAAAGTACTTTTCACTTTTCTCCATTCCTGGGGAGCAAAAGCTAAAAATGGCAGTTATGTATCTTATAGGGAAACCAGAGATATGATTTGATGGATACATTATGCAAAAGCATAAGGCTAATCGGAAGGAATTTGCTGCGGATTTGTCATAGGTTTTGTGACAAAACCTATATTGACATCATTGAGGAGTTTAACAAGTTGGTTCAAAACAACGTTAGTGGAGGAGCACCAGGAAAGATGGGAGTTGAAACCCTGTATGCTACATCACGATCCCTACTTGAAAGAATTTTACTTTGTATCAATTTTTGTTAGTGGCTTTAAGGAGGATATAAGGAATGGGGTTAAGGTACATCAACCTTAATCCTTGACTGCAACTTATTGGAAAGCCAAACTGAATGAGATCTCCTTAGAGTTAGAAGCCAGAAAATACATGGCATCACCCAGAACTTATGTGTTCTCTAATCAAAACTAACAGTACAAAACATATACTTCAAACTTACCTCCTATAACAATAACTTAGACTCAGAACACTACCAAGCAGTCTTTATTGGATTACAAGACGGCCAACAAACTATGTTTCAAATGTGGAGATAAGTTTGACCCGGGATATCAATGCAAATTCAGACAGCTGAATCTGATGGAAGAGAAGGAAGAACAAGAAGGAATGGATGCGGTGATAGTGGACATGGATAAGGGTGAAAACAATGGAATGGGGCCTGTAGTGGAGGAAGGGTTGGAAATCTCCATCAATGCACTAACTGGAATTGTAGGTCATAGTACCCTAAAAATCTTGGGTTTGACTAAGGGAAAACCCCTTAGTATCCTGATGGAGAGTGGAAGCACCCACATCTTTTTGACAGTTGGGTGGGCCGAAGGAGTAAAGATTGTCTCCAACAAACCATAAGCCATAACAGTAGCAAATGGAGAGAAATTGTATGGCACTGCTACAAGGAAACAACTGAATTGGAAGATACAAGGCTACCAATTTGAATATAACTTTAGAGTGCTAAACATGGGAGGAGTGACATGGTTTTGGGAGTGTATTGGATGAGAAAATACAGTCCAATCAAAATGGACTTCAATCAAATGACTCTGAATGAAGAAAATAAAATTCTTTGTATATGCATTTCTATTTTGTTTTTAGAATCTTGACTTGTATAAAAAAATTTGGAAAATAAATTGAAATTGAAATTTATATATTTTCGGGTGAGTGGTAGCTTATCATGTTTGATGTAATTATCTTGTTAGCTACTAGTAACTTGAGTATTTGAGAAATTCAGCCAGAACTGTATTTTAGGGCTGTGGAAATAGAACTTCCACCATTGGCGCTAGTTTCTACTAGATTTTTTGTTGTCACATTTCATGATCAGGAGTTGAATGTAGTCTCATTATATGTCGAATTTGAGAGGATGAGATTGAGAGTACAGTGGATGGAGAGCCATTTGTTGCCAGTGATGAATGTGCTTTCCCTTTCTGCCGAGCCTGCTATGAGTACGAGAGAAGAGATGGAAACCAAGCATGCCCTCAGTGCAAAATCAGATACAAACAAATAAAAAATGAGATTCTTACTGCAATTTAAGGTCTACATTGTTAGGTAATGACTTAGTAGGTGCCCTAATTTGTGACTAATAGCCTTGGCTATTGGCCTTACTAATTACCCGCTTGAGGAGACCTTAGGCGGGTGCACCTTCCAAGTGCAATGAAAGCCACCAGCCTAGGCCATGGGCCTGACTGATTACCCATTGACCCCGTCCAGGTAAGTACGTTTCAAAGGTCTTCCATGCTTATTCTTTATACGTATAGTTAACTTATCCTCTTTACTGTCTTCTCGATGTAGGTTCGAGCTCTCAAAGTTGTGCAAATTGATGATATTGATTGTCTAATTGCAACTGTATAAAGCACTCTGCTTGGTTGGTAGCTATTTTCAAAGTCTCTTGATTGTAGCTTGACATAGTTGTTTCATAGTATGGAGTACACTCTTGAAATTTCAAACTTGAAAAGGAATGAATGAATTGGCCTTTGGTTGATGCTTGTGCCGTCCACATAGGTGAATGCATGCCTTCCATTGGCCTTTGAATTCCTTCACCCTTGAATGCTCCAATTGTCGTTCATTCATAGGATAATATGAGGGAGGGCACCAGCAGCACTAATTTAAAGCTCCAAAAATTCTGTTTTTTCGTGCATGAACTACAAAGCTGGCTACTTCAATTTCATGTAATAATAGTTCATGTTGCTTTTATAGTGTGAACACACGCAAGCATGTCATAAGTAAACATCTCAATTCATACGTCTATAGCCAAGGAAGCACGTCAATTCATACGTCTAAAACAAAGCAAGCAGTTCAAGCAAAGCCAAGCACCTTTCCGAAGCCAAGCAAACACCTTCTAGCGTCTAAGCTAATTAGGTTGCAATGTAACAAGCCAATGTAGTAACATATTAAAATAACAATGTGGATTAAAATAATTAATTGAACCTCGAAGCATATGATCACAACATGTATGATAGTGGAGGCTTTTCATTTAGATTGAAGTAGACTTTCATAATTTGATCTTGCTTCGAACGTCTCGGATTAAACTTGGATGAGCTTCTTAAAGCTTCTCGAATGTAAGCAACTTGTCTCGATCAAACAATCTCATAAAAGTTATCGAAAACCTTACAAGGATAGTAATTGTGCTCGCATCACTTATGGTAATTATTAAAGCTTATTGGAGCCAAATGAGTTCATATTACATCAATTTCATGCATTCCTAGTGTCAAATTCGATCATATCGATCCATAAGTAAGATACCATCAAAACATGCTTCAAACACTCATACAAGCAAGAAAATTAGCATACAATGAACTACAAATAGTAGAGATGAGTTATGAGTATGTTACCTACAACTACAAAGCAGCTAGAAACCTTTCTAGCTCAATCAAGCACTAACTTCTCTTTAGTCTTGCCTTTGGAGATCTTTCTCACTTCTTTAACTAATCAATCAAGCAAGAAATGAGTTATCAACTCATGTAAGACTTAAAGGAAGTAAGAAAACGAATTCAAAAACTCTTTTTGATAAGAAATTTATATTTGTAATTTAGTCTCAGGTTTATTTTATTCAATTTGATACGAGGACTACAACTTTTTATAAATTCTTTTCTTCAACTTGATCCTACTACTACAACTTTTTATAAATTATTTCTTACCAATTTTGGACTTCTTTATACTTCCATATTCTTTTCCTCAAAATTTATTCTTAAGAAAAGAACACTACAAATATATTATATAAATTTAAAGATGATTTGATTTATAAAATAACATTACAAATTTTACCATCATAATATATATATATATATATATATATATTAAAAGATTTAGATCTAAAATAGCACACTTTACAAATTACGTTGCTCGAACTCGGTTCACAAAAAGAAAATATAAAATTCTTTTAGTAATTGGAACCACTCAAAGGGTTGATATTTACAAATTTTGCTTTATAAACACGAGGAGAAGCTACAAACTTGCTTTCATGTGGGATAGTGGGACTTGGCTTTATTGTAATTTCATTTGAATCCTACCCTCTTTTTTAATTTTGATTGTGTTATATTGGATCTCTTAAAATTTTCACTATATATATATTTAATCGATTTCCTAGAGAAAGTTGAGATTGTAGAGATTAAGAGAACTAAGAACCTGTGAAATTCTCAGAAAGCTGAACAGTAATCATTTATCTACATTAAAACTGAAAATAGAATGAAAAATGGAAACCAATGTCCATTAGGTAGAGGTAAAATTTCGAAGACTAGATTCGATGCAATATGTAGAGTTGCTTGATCGAAACAAAATAACTTCATAGTTTGGGAAAAGTAGGTTTATCATAATTAACAATGTTAGAACTAAAGGTCAGTTAGTGAGTAAGCCACTTGAAATTATTTTTCACATTTCAGCTTTTATCTTTTGTTTCATTTCATCATAACTGGATACTTTACTCTGCAATTAAGCTGCCCCAATATAATTGAAATAGCTACATTTCTAGGATAAGCTTTAATTGTTTCATTCTCCAGCATACTCGGTGTAGGGATGTTATACTTTATCTAGGTTCATTTTGAACAATCTCAAGCCAAGGGAAATTAGAATGACAAGTGACAACCTTAGGAGTATGAATGATGATTAGACAACATAAACTTTTAACTAGAAATTGGAAAGGGACGGCGCGAACGGAGATCCCCTCTGCAACAAATTATGACGTAGGCTCTCCTACTTACGCATGTACGCCTTCTGAGTGCAATGAAAGCCATCAACCTAGGCCATGAGCCTTGTTGCCACAGGTTTTGCAACAGCTCAAGCAGTTCACTTTGGTATGAATTGGCTTATACGAAAGCTAAGAGTAAAATTAGTAAAGGGGACAAAACATGACAAATAGCATTCAGTTCTAAATTCAAATGTAACAGTGCAGTGTGGAAAGTTTTGAGGATTGTAAATCCAACAAAGGAGAAAAGCCCATGGATGAATGAGATCCATAATTTCTCAGTTGATGTTCCAAGTATCTTTACCATATAGTTTTCAGATTTTCTTGATGTTGTTGGGAGATTATTCATGGTGTAACCAAATTAAGCGATGCACTGATTCAAGTTATCGAAACACAGGAGCATTTTTCTTCTAAAAGAGATCACTGCATATGTGAGGCTTAGGATATGTTTGAAGACTTCATCATTGATTTAAAGATTGAATGGGAATTGGAATGAGAAATAAATCAAATTTATTTGAACTTTAATTCAGTTGATTTATTTAATAACAATAAAAAACAATATTTGTTATCTTTTATCTTGGGGTTGTGATTTCTCTAATTAAGAAAAGTTCTCCTACATGTGAGCAATAACAAGTTTAGTCTATGTAACAATTGCTTTGACTAAAAACTGTGGTGCAAGTTAGTTCCAAATTGGCATATGCGCCCTTACTCAGCTCTCACATGCCTCACAACCATAATTAGTCTAAAATTTGATCTTTGAACTCATAAGGGCAGCAAGCAACTGCAAGAATAGACTGTAGAACAAGTGATTTGATCATAAAAATCATGGGATAACATCTAATATTATACTACATCAAAGCTAGTCCAATTTGTTAACTATGTAAAAGCAACCAGTCTGGTCAATCCGTAAATCAGTGCCATTATCGGTTGCAAAAATAAAAAGGAAAATTCCAAAATCAAATATTGTCTCAGACATAAGTTTCAGAATTAACTAAACGCATAAATGTGATACCTAAGCTTCAACCTATAGTTTTTAAGTTTCAAGCTCACAGCAATGAAATGCATCTAAGATATTGATGAGCTTTCTTATGTTGTATTGAACTTGTATTACGTTTCGTTTCAATCAATTTTGTTATAGTTGGCCATGAAAGTTGCAACAAAACTAAAACATAGACTGGAATGAATGAATCATATTGGAGAAAACTAGTCCTATCAATTCGAATTAACCTTGTGTTAAAGATCAATATATCATGGAAGCTTGAAGCATTTTCCCATTTGCCTTCTGGAATATCAACATCAACTCTATGCAGCATCTAAAAAACAACCTTCATGCATGGAGCTGCCTATGCAGAGCATGGAAGAGGAGACCCATTTCTTATTTTGAGTGGTGGGATGTTAGGAAAACGTTAAGTGAATGTTAATATGTTATAGTAGTTTGATTTATCTTTACAATGATTTTTAGCAGTTTCATGTTGCATCTCATAGTCATATAACTATTTCTAGACTGAAGAGAAAGAGTTAAATGATATTTCCCTTGGTAGATGCTACCAAAATGTGAAGGATTTGCCAAATGAAGGAATGACAATTTCAGCAACACAACCTTTAATTACACCGCTCCCACCAGGCTCCTAAAACAAATCATCTTGGGCTCAATGCAAGTTAAGTTCACACATCCATGAATAGTGGAACATTAATGCACAACACAAGTAAAACTTAGTTATTAGACAACAGATACTTTTAACTAGAATTGAGGAAGGGGCCGCGCGAACGCAGGCCCTCACTACCACAAATAATGACGTAGTCTCTCCCACTTGAGGAGACCTTAGACAGGTGCACCTTCCAAGTACAATGAAAGCCACAAGCATAGGCCATGAGTCTTACCGATCACCCATCGACCCCGTCCAGGTAAGTATGTTTCAAGGTTCTCCCATGCTTATTCTTTATTCGTTTAGCTAACCTCTCCTCTTTACTGTCTTTCTCGATGTGGGTTTCGAGCTCTCAAAGTTGTGCGTACTTGATATTTTTTATTATTATACAGGCGCACCCAAGTTTTGCAATTTTGAGCATTTACTCACAATTGTTTCTTTTCTTTGTTTTTTTTGCTGCAGGCTCTCCTAATTCTCACATTCTATTCTACTCAGCTTTCAGGACCAAACTATCATTTCCGACTGAAATTTCCTATCGGTAAAGTTGCATGCTATGTATCATAAGATGGTGCTGCCATGCTAACTTTTGAAGCACTCTTAGAGACGACTGAAATTTCCAGGAAATGGTTTCCACTGCACAGAAGACTCCTGAGGATGGTTGGGCAATGGAGGAGGGAACACCAGGGCCTGGAAATAATGTTTGTGACCATCCTGGCATGATTCATGTGAGACATTGTTTCAGTTCCCTTGCTTTTTTTTAAAATATATTTTGAGGTGGTCAACTGCTTGTTATGCATAAGAATTAAAGCATGAATCTGTTTCGAGGTGCTCAACTGCTTTGTTTTTTTCAATATATTTTGTCGTAAGAGGAGACGGTGGATTGGGGACCAAG